AACTTGCACAAGAAAATCACTCACTACGAAAGCAAAAGACTTGGCAGACGATGCAACATCCCCCCAATGAAAAGCAGGGGTGTCACTAGCACGTTAAGAGACCATACAATAAGTGTCAGGGGCCCGAGACTGTTCAACTGCCTCCCAGCATAAATAAGGGGGATTACCAACAGACCCCTGGCAGTCTTCAAGCTGGCACTGGACAAGCACCTAAAGTCGGTTCCTGACCAGCCGGGCTGTGGCTTGTACGTTGGTATGCGTGCAGCCAGCAGTAACAGCCTGGTTGATCAGGCTGATCCACCAGGAGGCCTGGTCACAGACCGGGCCGCGGGGGCGTTGACCCCCAGAACTCTCTCCAGGTAAACCTTCTGCTGGTCAGGAGCCCTGTGCATACATGTCTGTACCAATAATTATGTTGTGGTTTAAGTGAATTGTCTTTCATACATGGGAGTGAGTACTGTACCTTGTGGAACATAGCTTTTCACTTTAGCCAATTTGTCTGTTTACTATTACTCTGTGTTCTATTTGTTAGGAAGTTATAGATCCATCTACCCACTTTTCCTGTTATTCCTTTATCACAGATTTTGTGATCGCACATGTCAAAGACTTTTGCAGTCTGTGTATACATCTGCATTTTGTTTGTCGTCCAGTGCACTGAAGACCTTGTTATAGTAGTCCAGTAGTTGTGAGAGGCAGGAGCAACCTGTTCTAAACCCATGCTGCCCTGGGTTGTGTAACTGATGGGTATGTAAGTGGGCGGTAATCTTGCTTCTCAGAACCCTTTCAAAGAATTTTATGATGTGGGATGTTAATGCTACCCATTTGTAATTCTTTGCAATTGCTTTACTGCCACCTTTGTGGAATGGGACTGTATCAGTACATCAGCTTGCAAATAGGGAAGAAGGTTCGTTGTGATTATGAGGGAAAATAGGAAGGGTGTGGGGAAGCATGTATTTCTTCATTAGTTGTAACAAAGATAAAAATTAAGAGTCTGTAGTGGTGGTTAGTAGTAGTCACAGTTTGTAAAGAAATAGAAGTGTTGTGTGGTCTCCAGGTGATGGGTTTTAAAACTCTTTGGGGTCGAGAGGCAAATGTTGAGAGAGTAGTTGCTGTGAGCTGTGTAAGATGTTACCTAGTGTGGATAGTGGATGGTGAAAAGGTAGGGATTTCATCTGTAAGAATTGTGCAAAGGTGAGAAACAGGTGAAAATTACAGGGAGGCACTACTGGGTATGTGCATTTTTTAGGGAAATTCAAGCATGGATGCAAGGCAGATGCTCCTGTAAGTAGCATGTTGATAAAAACCCTCTTCGTCTCTAAGACCGGATTTCTCTTACCTGGAGGATGACACAACAGGGGCAAGAGTATAAGAGGTGCACTTTAGTTACAATTAAGGAAGGAAGGAAGGAATGCAATTCCAATCGAAGTCATTATGGCTCATGTTCTTACAGATGGGGCATTCTGCCTGGGACTTGCAAAATTTGGCAGGTGGCCAAGGCTCCAACAGTTGCAGCAATATTGTGGTGTAAATTTTGGCTCCTACAAATTATTTTTATAAAGTGGAATACAATTAATTATATAATTAGGATGATTGACATATATTGCTGCTTTACAGGAAGCCCCTTGATATGCATATCATTTTGGGCAGCCTTAATTAAAACTAAATCTTCTTTCAACAAATCGGCCATATCCCACCGACGTAGGGTGGCCCTAAAGGAAAAACGTAAGTTTCTCCTATTAAATTTAGTAATATATACAGAAGGGGGTTACTAGCCACTTGCTCTCGGCATTTTAGTTGCTTCTTACAACACACATGGCTTACAGAGGAAGAATTCTGTCTCACTTCCCTTGGAGATAAGTGGAAATAAAAAAAAGAACAACTAGTAAGAATATAGAAGAAAACCCAGAGGGGTGTGTATATATCTGCTTGTACATGTGTAGGGTGACCTAAGTGTAAGTAAAGTAGCAAGTAGTACCTGAAATCTCACATGTTTATGAGACAGAAAAAAAGACAGGCTTCCGTTTCAGGCTTCCGTTTTACATTCACTTGGCAGGATGGTAGTACCTCCCTGGGCAGTTGCTGTTTACCAGCCTACTACCTAGGTAAAGCTAAATTATGATTACCAATATATGAGAATAAGAATGCATAGTTTTTAACATATTGGAGGTATTTAGCAATTCAATAAAAAAGTTTAATTAGATATATTTAGGAAGAAACTAGGTACATGTGATGAATGGTAGACAAGGACAATACAGTTTGAATTTTTATTATAATCAAAACTAATTGCTAAACCCACAAAGGTCATACAGGATTGCAATACAGGTTGAAAATATTGTTCAGGATAATTAATTGTTGATAGGATCTTATTAGGGAAAGTAAATGTTTTTTAATAGCTTCGAAGCAGCTGTCAGAGAGGGAAGAGTTATCAGGTAGTGTTCCACATTTTAGGCCCTTTCATGCAAATTGAGTTTTTGCAAAGATCAAGCTATATTTACTGAGAGGGGAAAGGCTGTGGCCATCATATGTCAGTTTACTGAGGTTCATTAGGTACTTTGTTCATCTGTAAGCAAGGCAGACATAGGTATCAATACAAGTAATTCAGAGATGTTGCAGTTTTGATTGTTGTTGTTGTACATCAGGAAAGCAGTCTACAAAGTCTTGCTGGACAACAGAGTGAGAGATGACCACCATTTTCTGGCAGGAATTAAAGGTTGAGTGCTGATGAATTGTCACTGGGGTCATGCCAAAGGAATGAAGGTGATTTAGGCTGCTGTAAAGATGCATATCCAGTTACGTAAAGAAAGGAAACTGATAACTAGCTCACCATAGGTCAAGTTATCTTGTGCAACAATTTGGTTATTTAGTCAGTGCCTCTGGATTTGTTGGTTGCATAAAAATAAAACTGCATCCACTGATGTGTGTGGGAAAAGGTTTGACATTGGGAGAGACTACCAAGTCATGGCTTTCTTAGAGTATAATTGTTGCATCTGCATTATTCATTTCTTGACGGTATCAAATGATTTAGATAAAGAAAAATTGGATATCAAATTGGGGACGAGGAGTATGGAAGAAGTGAATGTTTTCAGATACTTGGGAGTTGACGTGTCGGCGGATGGATTTATGAAGGATGAGGTTAATCATAGAATTGATGAGGGAAAAAAGGTGAGTGGTGCATTGAGGTATATGTGGAGTCAAAAAACGTTATCTATGGAGGCAAAGAAGGGAATGTATGAAAGTATAGTAGTACCAACACACTTATATGGATGTGAAGCTTGGGTGGTAAATGCAGCAGCGAGGAGACGGTTGGAGGCAGTGGAGATGTCCTGTCTAAGGGCAATGTGTGGTGTAAATATTATGCAGAAAATTCGGAGTGTGGAAATTAGGAAAAGGTGTGGAGTTAATAAAAGTATTAGTCAGAGGGTAGAAGAGGGGTTGAGGTGGTTTGGTCATTTAGAGAGAATGGATGAAAGTAGAATGACATAGAAAGCATATAAATCTATAGGGGAAGGAAGGCGAGGTAGGGGTCGTCCTCGAAAGGGTTGGAGAGAGGGGGTAAAGGAGGTTTTGTGGGCAAGGAGCTTGGACTTCCAGCAAGCGTGCGTGAGCGTGTTAGATAGGAGTGAATGGAGACGAATGGTACTTAGGACATGACGATCTGTTGGAGTGTGAGCAGGGTAATATTTAGTGAAGGGATTCAGGGAAACCGGTTATTTTCATATAGTCGGACTTGAGTCCTGGAAATAGGAAGTACAATGCCTGTACTTTAAAGGAGGGGTTTGGGATATTGGCAGTTTGGAGGGATATGTTGTGTATCTTTATACATATATGCTTCTAAACTGTTGTATTCTGAGCACCTCTGCAAAAACAGTGATTATGTGTGAGTGTGGTGAAAGTGTTGAATGATGATGAAAGCATTTTCTTTTTGGGGATTTTCTTTCTTTTTTGGGTCACCCTGCCTCGGTGGGAGACGGCCGACTTGTTGAAAAAAAAAAAAATCTGGTAGGCTTAGTCTTTCTGCTCTTTGACACTCAGATGTTCTGCAAATAGTCATTGAGTCATGGGTGAGGTTGGGTCTACAGTCATGGTTGTGCAGGGAACAGAACTAGAAGACAGGCAAAACATCAGTATTTGGTTCAGGCATTGAGTGGTTGCCCTAAAGTGATTCTAGATTCTGAAAGAGTTCTGTGGGTATGCTGTGGTCTGAGGAGGATGCCACAGGGATCAAGGGACCAGAGTATAACAGTTTTTTTGGTTGAAAAGGGAGGAGAAAGTGACAGCTCTGTCCCTCTCTCCTCCCTTTACAACAAAATATATAAATTTTTTATATATAAAAGAAATCAATATTCTGACCCATGAACCACAATCACCATTGACGTGGCAGGCAGTGCTGTTGCTCCTTGGAAACTCCCCTCAACCCTAATCTACATACCAGGATCCACAGCACACCAAGATGGCACCTCTAGAACTGACTGAGATAGACTCAACCAATAATAGAAGTGGGAGATCAGAAATGCCAGAAGCCATACCCTTTTGGCCATAGCTCTCCAAGTCTGAAAGACAGTGTCTGGTAATAATTCTGTCATCTAAGGACATACAAGACTATCCTCCAGGGACACTGGAGGGTCACCCAGCATGCCCCCAGACTACCACTTCAGAAAGGAGCTGACAATGATCTCTTTTCCTTCTGCATAAGAAGTGACTTTCACAAGGTGGTGGTATTATTATTATAATCAAAGTAGGCGCTAAACTGATAAGGGTCATGAAGCGCTGCTCAAAAGGTGGTAATTTTCCCAATCAGGACGCTAAATGGAGAGGGAGGAAGGGGGTATTTAGAGTCCATTGAGGAAGGGGATAAAAAAAGTTACCTAATTTCCTGGATGAAGAGCCCCTTCACTGCACCAAGCATACTCCCTGAATGGGTAATTATTCAAAAACACTTCACGAGTGAGATAGGTACACGATGTTCAATTGCTGACAGCTAGTCAGTAAAACTCAAAATATGAGGGAATTTTGAAAAAAATATGTATTTTTTATTAAAACATATAACACACTGTACAATAAACATATGCACATCCTGTTCAGCTGTTGCCAGGTAATCAAGAATGTTCAAAATAACATAAAAAAATTTATTCCAATTTTAGTAACAAAGATCCTTAGTTACTTTAATTCAGTTTTCAGAGTCAAACTCTGCAGATTTGAATCAATCAAAAGGCCACACTTTTATCTCAGTAGTAAACTTGTTATCCAGTGTTATAGATGGGTGATACCTAAATATCAGCACATTTTAATCTGTTGCAAGTCCAGTCAAGCGATTCTTAACACTTAAGTTGATAACTGTCACATCATGTAAGTTCTGATGTTTTTATTTCTCATCCTCTTGACTTTAGGCCCATGAGAATGACTTCAGCATTATCCTCATTATCACACTAATTTTTTCCAAAAATTTTATTCTCCTACTTTCTTTGCTCTGTTGTCCTTGTCACACTTGCCACTGTTTCTTTGCTAATGGATACAAGAACATAAGTACAGCCTCTCCTCACTTAGCGACATCCTTGCTTACGACAGGCTCTCTGACCTGTGTGCATACTTAAATAATGTATATAAGAGCTGATTTCCTTTATTCTGTTTATTAGAATACATAGTGCACTACTGTATAAACATTTAAAAATATATCAGAAATGTTATCAATGGTGCAAAGGTGATATTAAAACAATATCAAAGATGGTTGGCACAAACCCACTACCATTATAGTATGTTCCTAACTTAGCGACGAATTTGTTTACCAACATGGTCTTAGGAACAAAACTCCATCATTAAGTGAGGAGAGGCTGTACATATTTTTCATATGTTCTATCTCTTTCTTCAAAAGAGATCGGTGGTCATGACTGCAATATTCTCCGATCAAGGGCAAAGTTACTGCCAAATGGTCACCTGTCCAGCCAGACCTTCTTAACTCTTTCAGTCTACATAACTCTAATATTGTTTCTTGGTTACTGATACGCTCTCTTAAGTTTGTTGGTCTTGGTGTCGAGGAAGAAAAAGTTTGTACATTATCTTCTGCTTGGATCGAAGAAGATCGTATCTTCCTTCTTTGGCCATTCTAAAAATGTAAAGGGTAATTATGTCAGTTCAATAAACTTAATATTTTATATTATATGCATTATTTTATATGTTAAACAAACATGTAGATTTTTATAACATAGAAAAAAGAAAAATATTTTGAGAAATTAAATTTGTCATAAAACCTGTTAAACTAGTGTTAATACTTAAAATTTCTGATTACAAATACAGTGGACACTCGGTTATCGGCCGTAATTGGCTCCAGAGGGTTGGCCTAAATCCAAAAAGGCCGAAAATCAAAATGTAAATCCAATTAATCTGTTTCAGACACCCAAAAATATAAAAAAAAAATACATTTTTTAGAGATTAACTATAGTTTTATATACAGAAAACAATGAGAAATAAATATAAAGCACATATTTTAATGATAAATGAACATTGCATACCTTTATTGAAGACTTCTTGGCATATTGATGAAGGCAGAAGCAGAGAGGGAGTTAGGAATCCCCAACTCCCTCTCCCTTCTGCCATATTACAGTGGAACCTCAAAAATCGAACGCATCACATATCGAACGTTCCGAAAATAGGAACATTTTTTCGGACAAACTGTGTCCCTATTATCGAATGCGCCCCTATTTTCGGACCGCCAGGTATGGGACCTGTCTGCCGCCCGCTCTGTCTGCGTCCCCGCGCAGGCGCCGTGAGCAGTCTAGCTTTGTTTATGCTTGAGTGAACACTAACCTGCGCTCTCATTCATGCATTTTACGATTATTTCGTTGTGTTTAGTGCTTGTGGGACTGTGAAATAAGCTGCCATGGGCCCAAAGAAACTTGCTAGTGGTACCCCTGTGGTAAAGAAAGTGAGAAACACCATAATGTGAAGAAGGAAATAATACAGAAGTATGAGAGTGGTGTGAGACTTGTTGAGCTTGCCAGGATGTATGGGAAAAACAAGTCGACCATCGGTTCTATCCTGTCAAAGAAAGAACAAATCAAGGAAGCTGATGTTGCGAAAGGTGTTAATATAGGGAGTGGACGAGGTGCCTTCTTCAAAGATTAAGGAGATTTGTGCCAAGTGGAATGATGTCCAAATGTTTGTGCAGAAGTACCACCCTGAGCAAGCTGAAACAAGCCATCTTTGCAACAAGTTCAGTGACAGAACCATGTCCCATTTTAAGGAAATGTTAAAGAGGCGCCAGAAACAGAGGACTGTGGACAGTTATTTTGTGAGACAGGGGTCCAGTGACTCTCAAGCTGGTCCTAGTGGCATTAAAAGACAGAGAAGGGAAGTAACCCCAGAGAGGGCTTTACCTGAAGTCCTCATGGAGGGGGATTCTCCTTCCAAACACTAACCCCAACTCCCTCTCTCCTCCTCCCTATCTTCCAGATGCCATCACCAATCTTCAATAAAGGTAAGTAAAAATGTTATTTTATATGTATTACTATACATAATTAAAAACTATAGTATTTGTTGTACGTAAAACTGTAATTAATCTCTATAAAATGTATTTTTTGTGTGAATATTTTTGGGTTTCTGGAACGGATTAATTGTATTTCCATTATTTCTTATGGGAAATATTGCTACGAATTTCAGACTTTTCGAATTTAGAACTACAGGTCCGCCATCACAAATCGGGCAAGCAGTTATTCGGTTCCTTCAGTTATTCGGCACTAATTTTGGCTAGCATAATTTCAAATTTCCAGGGTCGCCACACCAACCTGCTGGTACTGCTTGCTGGCGCTACTTGCTGCACAAGTCATTCAAATTTCTTTTTCTCCATTTATTGTTTTAACCTGCTTGCTTTTAGCCCTAGCCATGGATCATATGAATAAAAGAAATGCTTCTCATTATGTAAAGCACCTACACAGTGCATTATCCATTAAAGTGGCTTTGAAGCCACTGTCGGTTGCCATGAGCTCAGTCTCGTGATGCAGGAGAATATGCTTTATTATTACGCTAATATCAACACTACAGCTTATTTGCCTATCACAACTGATCTAATATGACATAAACAATATAAATAACATAAAACATGTTAAATACTCCAGAATGAATAATACAGTGGACCCCCGCATAGCGACTTTAATCCGTGCAAGAGGGCTGGTTGTTATGCGAAATGTTCGGTATGCGAATGAATTTTCCCCATAAGAAATAATGGAAATCAAATTAATCCGTGCAAGACACCCAAAAGTCTGAAAAAAATTTTTTTTTACCACATGAAATGTTAATTTTAATACACACAAACTGAAAAAGGCATGCACAATTACATGACACTTAATTTTATTGAAGATCTGGTGATGATTGATGGGATGGGAGGAGGGGAGAGAGAGTGTTAGTGTTTAGAAGGGGAATCCCCTTCCATTAAGACTTGAGGTGTCGAGTCCTTTTCTGGGGTTACTTCCCTTCTTCTTTTAATGCCACTAGGACCAGCTTCAGAGTCACTGGACTTCTTTCACACAACATATCTGTCCATAGTGGCCTGTACCTCTCGTTCCTTTATGACTTCCTAAAGTGTTTCACAACATTGTCAGTGTAATAATCACCAGCACGGCTTGCAATAGCTGTGTGAGGGTGATTCTCATCCATAAAGGTTTGCACTTTCAGCCACATTGCACAGATTTCCTTAATCTTTGTAGTAGGCAACTTCTTCAATTTCTCTCTCCCCTCCTCTGAACCAGTTTCCTCAGGTCTGGCCTCTTGCTGTTGAAGTTGATCTATCAGCTAATCAGTGGTTAGTTCTTCATTGTCCTCCTCCACCAACTCTTCCACATCATCCCCACTAACCTCCAACCCCAAGGACTTTTCCAATGCTACAATGGATTCCTCAACTGGCATAATCCTCTCAGGGTTAGCCTCAAACCCTTCAAAATCCCTTTTGTCTACACATTCTGGCCACAGTTTCTTCCAAGCAGAGTTCAAGGTCTTCTTAGTCACTCCCTCCCAAGCCTTACCTATAAGGTTTACACAATTGAGGTTATTAAAGTGCTCTCTCCAAAACTCTCTTGGAGTCAGTTGAGTTTCTGAGGTCACTACAAAGCACCTTTCAAACAGAGCTTTTGTGTACAGTTTTTTGAAGTTTGCAATAACCTGCTGGTCCATGGGCTGCAGGAGAGGAGTGGTATTAGGAGGCAAAAACTTCACCTTAATGAATTTCATGTCCCCATAAAGTCGCTCTGCCACGTCTGTAGGATGACCAGGGGCATTGTCTAACACCAGGAGGCACTTAAGTTCTAATTTCTTTTCAGTAGGTAATCTTTCACATTGGGGGCAAATGCATGGTGTAACCAGTCATAGAAAAAGTCCCTAGTGACCCATGCCTTACTGTTTGCCCTCCACAGCACACACAAATTCTGCTTGAGGACATTCTTTTGCCTGAACGGTCTGGGAGTTTCAGAGTGATACACTAATAAAGGCTTCACTTTGCAATCACCAGTAGCATTGGAACACATCAACAAAGTAAGCCTGTCTTTCATAGGCTTATGTCCTGGGAGTGCCTTTTCCTCCCCAGTAATGTAGGTCCTGCTTGGCATTTTCTTCCAAAACAGGCCTGTTTCATCACAATTAAACACTTGTTCAGGTTTCAGTCCTTCACTGTCTATGTACTTCTTGAATTCCTGCACATATTTTTCAGCTGCTTTGTGGTCCGAACTGGCAGCCTCACCATGCCTTATCACACTATGTATGCCACTTACGCTTCTTAAATCTCTCAAACCAACCTTTGCTGGCCTTAAATTCACTCACTTCATCACTAGTTGCAGGCATTTTTTTAATTAAATCCTCATGCAACTTCCTAGCCTTTTCGCTTATGATCGCTTGAGAGACGCTATCTCCTGCTAGCTGTTTTTCATTTATCCACACCAATAAGAGTCTCTCAACATCTTCCATCACTTGCGATCTCTGTTTCGAAAACACAGTTAAACCTTTGGCAAGAACAGCTTCCTTGATTGCCTTTCTGTTGCCCACAATAGTAGCGATGGTTGATTTGGGTTTCTTGTACAACCTGACCAGGTCGGCGACACGCACTCCACTTTCATACTTATCAATGATCTCTTTCTTCATCTCTATAGTAATTCTCACCCTTATTCCTGTAGGGTTGGCACTAGAAGCTTTCTTGGGGCCCATGGTCACTTATTTTCCAGATAAAGCACCGAAAACACTGTAATAATACGAAATATTCCGATTGTATGCTTGGATGTTACCGCGGAGGCTGGCTGGTAAACAATGCCACCGGCGGAACATGTGAGGCTGGCTGAGGGCGCACATTGGGCGCGTCTTGGACGAAGAGCGGTGAGCGGGTTTTTGGGCGGTATGCGAGGCAAAATTTTTGTGAAAAAAGCGAGTGGTATGCGGATTGTACGGTATGCGGGGGTCCACTGTATTTGGCATAACACCGAGGAGTTCGACAGAGTTACGAAGAGGATATGGTAAACAAATACCATTCTCCTATCCTTGTCTTGGGGGCTTATATTAGAGAAAACGGAATATAGCACAGGGCTAACTATGATATACACTCGTACTCCACCATAAACATGTAACAAAAAAGTTATTTTCTCTCTATAGATTATCACACATAGCAGCATATGTGTAGAGAACCTAGGATAACCCCAAAAAAGTCAACGTGGCTTATTTTTAGTACCTGGCTTGGGTTAGCCATATATGATTTTTGGTAAATATTCGATTCCCAGCCAGGGTAGAAACATTAGGCGTGTTTCTTTACACCTGTTGTCTATGTTTACCCATCAGTAAATGGGTACCTGGGTGTTAGTCGACTAGTGTGGGTGTTATCCTGGGACACTGACCTAATTTTCTTGAAATACTCAGCATACCAAGTGCCTTTCTATACAGTAGTATGTCACTGATGTCAGATAGGCCTGTATACCTTGTACATGTACGTGTAGTAAAGATATTATTATTTTCTCAGTTGTTTGTTGGGTTATCTTATTCAAACTTGGGCAATGTATGATGGAAAGATACTTCTTCACGTACACCAAAAATGAAAGAAATCAGACTATAAATAGCGGAGTTCACTTCTCAGCCATT